TGTACTTAACTACGTCTACTGTCTACTATAACATAGTATTGTATTCGATATGTTGTAGAAAAATTGGCTGAAGCGACTAGAAAATTTGCCAATCTCCAGAGCGACCTTAGAGAGGCTCAAGATGACAAAATCAAACCTAAAGATGCCAGCGGTAATCTTAAGCCGGTAAAACGAAAAATTCTCCGAAAAAACACCACAACGCGTAAGACCCAAGAACTAAAGTTAGCTTTCAGCGAATTCTATTTGAGTTTGATCCTACTGCAGAACTACCAAAATTTAAACTACACCGGCTTTCGGAAGATTATGAAAAAACATGACAAGGTATCTGCAGAGCTACCTACATATTATTTTTTAATATGTACCTACAATGCACTTAAACCAATTGACAATCTACGTTTTGATTATGAATTTTGTTTTACACATATAGGTATTATTTATATATTAATTAGAGGTTTGTACCTATAGGTAGGTAAGTAGGTACATACCAACTGCGTTACCAATATATTAATCAATTTCGATCACCGCGAGCGTTTTGTACTCGTTGTGAAAAATTTGATGACTAGTTGAATCCTATTTTACGTTTTACGAACTGCGTGATGGTACGACGATAAATATCAAATAATATACCTACCATTTAATTTTTTCGTGTCTTTAAAATAAAATATATTATCGGTTTTTAAAAAATCATTACTAAACATTCTAAACATTATTTTCGCACAACACTTAAGTAGGTACGTCTTATACTCTTATATACACTTAAGAACTGTTCTTGCTTTATACACTGTTATTATTCAAGCTGTATTTTGTTTAATTATTTCTGTAAAATTAAATGATTAAATGTACCGATTAAATAACTATCTTCGGTTTAATACATAGCATTACAGTGATGACCTGCTACGATGTTCGCTATATTATTATTATACCACATACGTGGATAAATGGATAAATGGTGGATCGCGGTGTATAATATTATGAAAAAGAACCTTAAATATATAATGTTTGATGCGTTTAATATGCAAATGGTTACTTTGGCACACTACGAATCCCCGAATTTATATATTTTTATTTTTATCTTATTTGTATATGTTAATTTATAGGTAATAGTATAATACTAATATCTAATTATAATTGTATAACAAATAAAATATGAGTCGTGTTTTTACGGCGCGAACAACTTATTTTTCGAGTAAATATAATATATTTAATAATAATTATATATTATTATATTACTGTTATATGATACAAAGTCGACAAGCCTTATTATTCTTAAATAGTTATATATATATTACTATGTTAGGCAACCCATGGTTGGCCCATTAAACTCGTAGTGTGCCATTTCAGCACATATCGACGCGTACTGCTCTTTGGTATCATTACATTTTTTTAAACTTCATAGCTCGCTCTTATAATGGCTACTATAGTATACTGTATACAGTTGTAATACGCGTTACCTATGTCGAAAAAGAACATTAATAATGGGTATAATTGCTTAGTAGGGTGAAACAAATTAATTTTCTTCTAGATTTAATATTTAAAATAAAAGTGGTTGGTAAACGATAAACCCGATTAGTTCAAATATCCATTTGGATCGTTGTAATGCATAATATTAAAAAAAAATATGCATGTACATTTTAGGAATTTTTCCTAGATAATAGATATATTTGTATTTAAAGAAAAATAGTCCTAATATATTTACTTATATATCTATACAACCAATTTAAAATTTAAACGTATTTTATTTTATTACATAAACGGGATGTTTTCTGCATTCTGTTAACTTTTACCTATATTAATATATGTATGTGTGGCGTTCGTTTAAGTTACTGGGTTCGGAAGGCGGTTCCGGTGGTCGGTGGAGATCGGAAGTAGTGGAAAATGCACATTTCTACTGTAACAAAGACATCGACCGGCTGATTAGCGAGACCGAGGCCACTGTCACGCAGGGTCTCGAAGGAGGAGACCGCCAGAGGGCCATGAAGAGACTGCGTGTACCACCGCTCGGCGAACAGCAATCGCCTTGGATCACGTTCAAGGTCGGCCTGTTTTCCGGTGCTTTTGTCGTTATGTTGCTGGCGGTCATCATCACTGGTGAGCATATTTTCAAAAACTGCTGTACTTGTCTACAAATACGAGTATGAATAAATAAAACGTCGTGAAAATGAATAACATCATACGCGGGTAACTACCGTATACATATTTATACTAGCTGATCCTGCACGACGTTGCTCGTGACACATTAAATACCCACTGATTTACCCTTTCTTAAACTCCAAGATTAAATGTAAGCTACACATATTTTTAACTCTGCAATCACTTGGGTGGTTGTGATCCAATTTAAAATACAGGTCTAAGATTATATCAAGTTTTATTAAATATTTCATATTTTGTAGCTTATATAGTAACCTTATACAGAAAAAAGAACAATACCCAGTATTATATTTTATCAATCATATAATACGACTATATCATTGTTGTATGCTGTTGTTTATAACTATATATAAATTGTACAATAAAACATAACCGAAATCCGTGGGCGAGAGTAAATTCATTCCCTGTAGGACTTGTGTCCGGTCGAGTATTATATTACATGAGTACCTATATAAGTGTCTATTGCAGTATCATCTGATCGGCTGCTCAGCTGGAAAATAATTTTCAGGCTCCATATAATGATATTTTCGTGGATTCGTAGGCATTGCTCACAGCAACGAGAACACGGACTGGCGGGTCATGGTCAGACTGTACCGGGGCCCGCTGCTGTTAGTTATATTCCTATTCCTGATGGGCATCAACGTTTACTGTTGGCGTTCGTCGGGTGTCAACCACGTGCTCATCTTCGAGCTGGACCCTAGGAACCATCTCACCGAGCAGCACATCATGGAGTTGGCCACCGTCTTCGGACTGGTGTGGGCCGGCTCGGCGCTGATATTCCTGTACAGCGAGGCGTTGCATATTCCACCTTACATAAACCCACTGATCCTGGCCGTGCTTATGATTGCGTTTTTGTTCAATCCCACCAAGACGTTGCGGCACGACGCCCGGTTCTGGGTGCTGCGCGTGGCGGTAAGCTACTTTCTTATGTTGTATGTACATGTATTAGTGTGGAGGAGGGGGTGTGTTATTTTCTTTTTTCTTTTCAAGTTGCCCTCTTTCTCTTAAAAAAAAAAATAAATGGTTTGTTCACTTTAAAGCAAGAGTATAATAGAAACGAATTCAGATCAATTTATTGCCTAGGTACTGATTGCCTACCCGTGTCATAAAAAGTTCGGGAAGTTATAAGGCATGGTTTTCACGAAATCGTTACATTTTTAAAACACATTCATCAAAACTTGAGAACCCACTCACCCATTGGGCAATGATAAATTAAACCTGGAGGCTGGAATTTTAAAATGAATAATATTTGGAAATTTCATTCCATCCAATTAGAAAAATTATTGTTAATTTTAATAATTCATTTTGGTAATCATCCCATGGATAAAATATATTAATAATATATATATTATTTGGAAAATTCTAAAAGTCGATATTTTTGAAATATAATAATAATATCGTCATATACATTTATTAAAGCCATCATAATCCACTTAAACTCACTGAGCACTCGCACTTCTTACAAACAATCTCAACACGTCCCCAAATGTCACATTGTACACTTAAATAATCGCTATACATGTTATCGCTTCGCCCAAAGACGACGGGGTTTTAAAAAAAACTTCGTGCTATACACTCACGTGTTTTCTCATGTCGCAGGTACGCATACTATTCGCTCCCTTCTTCTATGTGGGTTTCGCGGACTTTTGGCTGGCCGACCAACTCACTAGTCTGGTGCCCGCGTTGCTGGACTTTCAGTACCTCGTGTGCTTCTATTTGACCAACGACAAGTGGATGTCTAATAAAAGTAACGGACTTTACCCATACATATTACACATGTTTATAATAATATTATTTACGTTCTTATTAGAAACTGAAAACATAATATATCATAATATAGTATATATAACAATATATTACAATAATAAGGTTAACTTATAATATTAATTATGTATTATGTAGAGTATTATAGACTATAGAGTGTGGTGTCAGGTAAACATGTCCAAGTGAATAAACATTAATTATTTTCATTGAAAGAGATTATAATGTATAATAGTATGTTTAGAATGATAGAAATGATGCGAAACACTGGTTACACACTTTTTCATTGTAATTTCGTACATTTTGTTGATCTTAAAAAATTATGAACAATCAAAAAATACCTATAGATATTCTACGTGCGCGTTGTAATTTATGTGGACATATTTACCCGAATCTGCAGAATAACTATATGTACATCATATATTTTATAATATATCAAACAATTTAAAACTTAATAACACACCTTTGTCTCGGTTTTTTTATTATGTATAGCAATCGATATAGACGGTAGTAAGTGCGTGGAACGCGTGTGGCTTTTGCGACCATTTGTCGCATGTTTGCCTGCGTGGTTCCGATTTATGCAGTGCCTGAGACGGTACCGAGACTCACGAGAAGCGTTCCCTCACTTGGCAAACGCCGCCAAATACGCAACTACCTTCTTCGTGATAACGTTCTCATTTCTAAATCTTCAATACGCAAGTAAGACATACTTCCATATCCACTCGCATACATCACTTACTGACTGTAATATATTTGTATTTTATGTAGGTACATTTTTTTATACGTTAAATCTTTTTCGATAAGATTGAAATTGAAAATTTTTATTTTTAACCTTAATGCTTTCAAAAGTTATAATTTTAGTAATATAATGTGTATTTTAAAATTCTCCACCAAAATGTCGAAACAGTTTCATATAATTTGAAAAAAGAATTACTATCATAGATCTTCCACATTAAGTTGTGGACATTTGTACTGAATGTTTTTGTGGGCAAAAAATAAAACTTTCAACTATAAATACAACTCACTCATTACAAGCTAATGATATGATGGGCGTCCCACACACAATATTCTTTAGATCGATAATCGATGGTTAATTGTATTGTATGGTTTAAGAAAAAACAAAATTTAAATTTGCCAATTTGTTATAATTATTATACTAAGATATACCGTCTCACTCCAAGCTGTATTATTATAACATAAATAATATACAATTAATTGGAATTTAAATGCATTATTAACCGTCGTTGGTTATTTTTTTTTTTTATTCATAAAGAGGATAACCCTGAAGAAGATCCGAGTGTGTATTTCTACCTGTGGATATCAGCATCTATATTCAGTTCGCTGTATTCTTATATATGGGATTTAAAAATGGACTGGGGACTTTTCGACCGGAACGCCGGCGAAAACAGATTCCTTCGCGAAGAAATCGTGTATTCGTCGACGGTAAGTTGTATTAAACTAGTAGTATTATTATGAATTATGATGCTCACAGACCTAACAGATTTAATTCACTATTTGTGAGAATACGAGTTTGAATAGGTCTTGATTTTTGATAATTTGATGTCGAACCTAACCGAAGAATTTGTTTATCATATTCGTTCGTAAACTATGTATTTGTTTATCGTATAGTATAGGTGGATGATAGGTAAGTGCAATAAAAAAAAAAAGCGGGTAAGTCGTGGATGTCGCTCTGTTGTACAGTAGGTTGCAAGTGGGTTACTGTTATGGATGGAATTAAATTTGAATCCAATGATTATATTTAGGGCTAGGATTTATATGCATTTGCATGTTTTTTTCCTTAAGTCCAAATCGATCGTTTGTCAAATTTGTCCACGATTTTGCTTACTCTCGTTTAAATAAAATCAATTTTTTTTTGCATATTTTTGCATATTTTGAACACAATGCATATAATTGCATATTTATAGATTTTAAGGTTTTTTATTTTTTTTTAAATTTTTTAAATGGCGTTTATTTCATAATACCGATAGTTTTTGGTTTATCCGTCGAATTGTAAATATATAGTATAAATATTACCCATCTAATCTTATCTTATCTACGACCGATAGGATTACCTACACATTATTTAATGCACCTATTATGGCCATCAGGAGTGAAGTACGAAGAAGTTTTACTTTTTGTTTCTGACGCCGCGCCATATATGGTTAAATCAGCGAATTCCTTGACTATGTTATACCCTAATTTAATTCATTTAACATGTTTGGCACATGGGATTCATAGAATTAGCGAATGTTTACGAAATGAATATTCTACTGTTGATAAATTAATAGCGACAATTAAAAAA